ATTTTTTTAACTAAGAGGATTGAAAACAACTATTTTGAGTACCAAAATATGCATGTTAGATTGACTTACCTAAAAAACAATCAGTTTGTCGATGCAAAAACATCTTGTCCATCTATGTGTCTAACGCTATATAAATTGAAAACATGAACGTTAGAAATAAAAAGACAAAAAGTAAACTGGAAGAATCAAGACAAGACGAATCAATCTATCAACAAGATTATAACTCGTTGATTTTCTTCTCAATGCCAGCATTGGCACACATCTATTGGATCTGAGCTATTTATTTATTTAAATAACTATTGGATCTTTTGTTTAGGTCTTAAATTCAAAATTTTGCAAGGGCGAGTCAAAATTTTTGGGGGGCAAAACTGAAAAATACATTACAAATTAATTAGGAATAATGGACCAGCGTACAATGTTGGGGGGCGGTCGCCCCCCTGCCCCCTATCTCCGTCTCTGATCATCACTGACGATCGATAACAAATTTTGTGACAAACAAACTAATGGCTCAATGATTGCCATTTGTAACCAAAATGAAGCAAGTTTTATTGGTATTTAATTCTCTTATAATTAAATTAAATATAAATAATAATTCACAATTAAACTAGTTTGGTTCAACTAATCAAACGGTGATGTCATAATTGTTTGAAATTTGCACAAATAAACTGTGTGCTCTCCCAGCAAGGCAAATGCTTTTGGCAAAAACTATAATTTTAAGTCCTTAATTATCATTCCTTAATAGTTTGGAAGTACTAATTAAACCAAGATCCAAGATTGTAGGTACTTCAAAAGAACTATGTTATTCATAGTAAAAATTATCGATAGTCGTCATACGTGACATACACGTGACACATTAATATGCATCAAGTAATAAACTGTCACACACACACACACACACACATATATAATCACGTAAGACAACTATCGATAATCTGAAATATGAATAACATTACTCATTAAAAAATGAGGTTTTCTTTCCATGAAGACGTTATAAAAGTTCGCTAGACACGCAAAATGAAGTCTAAATATTGAGCCATTTTATTTAAAAGTTTAAGTTGTATAAGGTCAAATGTTTTATTTACTCAAATTTACCTATCTCTTATGATTTTTTATTAAATGCTTAACCCGCAAATTTATCAGAGAAGGATTGGACCAAAATACACGCCTTAATATTAAGAACCGAATCGTTCTAATCTGGTTCTCGATTCGATTCTCTCCCCCCATACCCACGCGTGTGGAACTATACATTCTAAAACCTTAAATTATAAGAAAGCAAACGCACTATTAAGGGATAGAATCTCATATCGAATAAAATGTAAATATAAACCAACTTATAAATGATTGAGTTACCCCTCTTAATAATTTTGACTTTTAAGATGGAATCTCAATTCTTAACATGGTATCAGAGTCCATTAAGCTCTAACGAGCAATTCGATCCGCTTAAAACTCCAAAAGTGAGCACACGTATTTCAAGATTGGTCTGCTCAAACGAGTCACCATCTTGCGGGGGCATATTAAGGGATAGAATCCCACATCGAATAAAGATGTAAAAATAAACCAATTTATAAAGGATTGGATTACCCCTTTTAATAAGAAAAATGTTATTCATCCCCAATGTGGATGCATCCCCAGTCTATGTGGAGGTAAATGATTGGTTAAATGATGAGTGAAATTAAACGACTTATTTAATTTCACATATCATTTAATGTCACATTAACGCCACATGGACTGGGGATAGGAGCAACAGTGGAGATGAATAGCATTTCTCTTTTAATAAGGTTGACTTTTTAAGATGGAACTCCAAATCTTAACACGCACTTCTACAAAAAAAAAACTCAGAATTTCGTCATGCCTTTTCAGTTAGTTTACTATGATTCTAATCCATTACTAAACCTAAAAATCTCTCAAATTTCTTCAATACATGATGCCACTAACAAAATTTACAGACATGGCAATTAACAATCAAACCTCAAAGGCCAAATCCCTTCTTCCACTTTTCAATAAATGTTCCACTATGAAAGAAATGAAACAGGTCCATGCCAATGTCATAATAAATGGCCTATCTCAAAACCTCTACTTAATGGGCAAGATCATTGGATTTTGTGCAGTTTCTGCTCATGGATCAATGGATTATGCTGTCACTGTTTTTGCCAAAACTGAGAACCCAGATGGATTCCTTTGGAACACAATGATTAGAGGGTTGGTGAGGACAAACCGAGCTGATGAAACCGTCAAATATTACAAGAAAATGCAAGAAAATGGTGGGATAGCAGATAATTTCACCTTCTCTTTCTTACTGAAAATTTGTGGTCAATTGGGTTCTGTAAAATTAGGAAAGCAAATGCATTGTAGTGTTCTTAAGCATGGGCTGGAGAATCATGTCCATGTAAGTAATACTCTGATTCATATGTATGGCATGTTGAGGGTAATTTCGACAGCCAAGGAACTGTTCGATGAAATGCCTGAACCAGGAATAGTAGCCTGGAACACAGTCATTGATTGTCATGTTTATTGTGGAAAATACAAAGAAGCGCTCGAATTGTTCTTGAAAATGTATGGGAGTGGCATAGCATTTGATGAGGCAACATTGGTGGTTGTTTTATCAGCATGTTCTTCATTGAGTGTGTTGGGTTTTGGTAAATTGGTGCATTCACTTGCTGATAATGCTGGCTTCAACGGGCTTGTTTTGGTTTGCAATTCATTGATTGATATGTATGCAAAATGTGGAGCAGTGGAAGAAGCCTACAAGGTGTTTCACAATATGCTTGAGAGGAATTTAGTAACATGGAACACTATGATACTAGGGTTGGCTATGCATGGTCATGCTCATGAAGCATTGGAGCTCTTCTTGAAACTTCTATATAAGAAGCTCGAAATGCCAAATGACGTTACTTTCTTGGGAGTTTTGTGCGCGTGTAGTCATGCAGGGCTGGTCGAAGAGGGAAGGAGGTATTTTCGTTGTATGATTGATGAGTACCATATCCGACCAAACATAAAGCACTATGGATGCATGGTGGACATTCTTAGTCGAGCTGGATTAGTTGAGGAGGCTTATCAATTGATAATGACCATGCCAATAGAATGCAATGCGATCATATGGAGAACACTGTTGGCTGCTTGTAGGGTGCATGGCAACGTGGAACTAGGAGAACGGGTAAGAAGGCATCTTCTTGAGGTGGAGCCAGATCATAGCAGTGACTATGTTCTTCTTGCTAACATGCATGCTGGCACAGGCCAGTGGAATTATATGATGGAAGGGAGGAAATTGATGCAAGACAGGGGAATTCTGAAACCAAAGCCTGGAAACAGTTTTGTTGGGCTCCTCCAAGATTAAAACCTGGGCCGAGAGCTTATTCCAAGACCCGAAAAAGAAATTGGCCTCGATTGGTGTTCTTCCGTGATCTTACTGTGCACATCCCCCATATATGAAAATGGGAGAGAGGAACTTCGTGACAATTATTCCAGTGCATAGGGTACAACATTCCTGCTGCTTTGTCTAGCAAGACATTTGTATTGATCTCCCACAACTCTGTTTTCACGGTTAGGCTACTTTCATTTCACTCGCCGTTATTATAGGAATCACTTTTTGATGGAGATGAGTAGAGGTGTCAATCCGGGTGGTCCGGCCGGGTCGGACAGCAAACATATGAGCCTGGTAACGGCCCGCGTGAAAAAAAGCTCGCCCGCTACGTGTTCCGGGCCGGTTCACAAATTTTGGACTACAACCCAAGCCTGCCCGCTGACCCATCCGGGTCTAGCTCATGCGGGTCACGGGTCGCGGGGGTTGTGCATTCGCAGTTTGTTCCGATTTTGCACGTATTATTGTATAAATAAAATTATAAAAATATAGAATTTTTCATATTTATAGCAAAAAATATTTTTTTTGTTAAATGTAAACTAAAAATTGAACAAAATAATAAATTCATATTTATACCG